AGAACTGCAACAGCAAGCTAGGTTGGATTTACGAGTTTGCTACCGAGGACAGTCAGCGGTACAAAGAGGGACGCGTCATCCTGGAGAGGGCGCTGGTGAGGGAGAGCGAGGGCTTCGAGGAGCACGTCCCCTCAGACAACTCGTGAGCCGCTAACCAGGGATTGTTTGTTCCTCCCCTCCTTCTCCTCTCTCCCCTTTACCTCTGCGCTGTGCACCTCCACCTGCAGACTTAGAGCTCAGTGAAGTTTTAGCTTCACCTGCCACACCCCTTCCCTCGCTCTGGTCTCTGACCTCTGCTAATTAGAAGATTGGTATGCTGGCTCTTTTCTATTCCATAAAATACTTCCTGATTTATGTACCACAGGGCACCATCCTTACCAGCTGGGAGCACAGAAGCGTTTCTGCACGGTCACACACAAGTTTTCACGTCTCTGCACAAGGCATGCTCCTCACACTTTTCTCATATAGTTCTTAAAACACATGCATGATATACGACAGGGTGAAGCATCACTTGGTTGTTTGGTTCATTTAGATAACAGGTAGAATAGCTGAGTATGTCCATCATCAAGCGAAGCCTACACATTATTCTAAACGAGCTGTAAATCTGCATATTGCTTTAATGGGGCTTCTGTGTCGTCAACTTTGTGTCAGTGTATTTGTCACTGGTGGACACTGAATGCAGTTAAGACCATGATTATTATTGCTATATCAGTTTCTTTGTAATTAGCCAGTAGTGCAATTATTGTAATTGTGTTTAAAATCTTTGTTCCCATGTAAAAGGATATCATAAGGACTGCACAGATTGATGTCATATTTGAGTATTCATTGTTGTGGTTGATGATAATCTGAGTTTAATTTAGATCTAGCTCACATCTATGTTGATTGACCTGAATAGCTTGAAGTGAACATAAGGTGATATAAGTGTCACATTAATGCAGTATTTAGTGTGGAAGCAGAGTGTACAGTAGACAATCATACAAAGTCATCCTGCAGTTTTATTCAGTTAAAGTGCTCTCTCTCTCTCTGTCTGGTTCTATTGTTTCCATGCCTGTGTGCTGTGCAACACTGTGGTGTCTTATGATCAGGAGTATTTACCTTTCTGTCATGTGTCTCCACTCCAGTGTGACGGAGGACAAATGTGTGAGATGTTCTCTGCTGTCATTAAAGACAGGATGACGACAGTGCAAGGCGAAAAGCTAACAGAAAGTTAGCCGCAGACATCCATTTACCATTTTTTTTCCTGTGATCGATTACTATGTTGTTTAAAAAAAACGAGCATTGAAAATGTGTTTGAATCAAGCCTTAGACTGCTGGAACTGTATTTCTTTGAACAGGGTTCACTTCAGTAAACATCTCCTTGTGTTAAACTAATTTTAGGATAGTCACACATCTTTTTATAATCCTCGTTTTAGGGCACGTTTGGTCACGAGACGACTTCTTTCTTATAAACTCAAAGCAAAAGACGCTTCAATGGACTCTGTCATCTCTTACTATGCCAGAGTCTAAATTTTATAAAAAATGTGTACGTAACCATGTGAAGATTTAAACCAAAATGTCAAATTGAACAAACAAATCTCAATCTGTGTGACATTTGATTCTTGGACTGGGTTGTAGCGTCATGGCCCTGGTGAGACTTTGTGCCATTTCAGACTGTGCATGCCTGCAGGCGTAGCCACACTGGTTCAGCCTGCACTGCTGACACTGTTTGTGTTTCTTGCCTGACTTTGTAAAGGTCCCCAAGTCAGTGGTGTGTCCATCTCGACTCAACTCGACTGTCCAGTCAATGGCAGATTTGAATTATCATTTTGTTTTCTTTTACCATTTTATTGGCGGGCCATAGCTTCTTCTTGCTTTACTGGTTATTATTATTTTTATTTTATTAATGGATACATTTATCTTACTGAATATTTTATGTATGAGAGGATGGAAAAAGTTAACTTCTTGTATGCTATAGCAAGGTTTTCTTTGATGTGATTTCTAAATAAACATTTCGTCTCGCTGGGTTAAATGTCTTTGTCTTCTTTTGTATTTTTTGTTTTTTGGGTTGGTGGGGGGAGTATCAAACCTATGACTGTATTTGATATGAAATGCACCAAATAGCAACACGTTGGGGCATTGAACCTGCGACCATGGGGTGCCTTTTCTACCAACTGAGCTAAACCAAAGCTCCGTTTTCAACATTATTATCTTGTTTGGAGCTTGTTACTTATTTTCTTTCAGCAAATGCAAATCAAATTTAGGGAATCGATATTGTCCCATTTCTTTTCGATGGTTGTATTTTAAATAATTGTAAATAAGCTCATCTTGATTTAATTAAAATGTAAATATTGTTATTTTAACTTCATAAAGGGACCTAAATAAAGTGAGTGGAGGTGACTCATGAGTAAGACAAAACGCTCAGACCTCTAGGTGGCAGCAGGACACAGAGAGAGAGACGGGCTGATCTCTGAGGATGTTTCCCCCTCGGTTTGCTTGATGCTTAGTCCCTTGCCTTCTTCCTCTGACGTTCGCCTGGCGGTCTCTACAGAGCTTCACTGCAGTCTGAAAATACATATCAATGATTTTACTCTCTGGAGCATGAAATTGTATGAAGTGTACTGCATTGTAAGCAGGTAGATAAAATGCTCAACACAGAGCCCTGTTGAATGAGTAAAGACTAGAGGTGAAACAAAATAGGACATCTACGACAAAAATGCTGCATGTACTGTACATTTTAAATTCAGTTTTAATCCTATTTGTTCAGTTTCCACTGCGGTTTGACTGCATTAGGTTCATAAATAGGCAGTGACGACTCCCTCCTAATCCTCCCACTAATATTGCAGCGCTGCCGTAAAGTTATTTTTAGCCCTGATCCTGTTGGAAGGTTTCTTTGTCAGTGTGTCTGTGTCACAGCGGTGGAATCAACAACGAGGGGTCTGCTTCCCTGCAGTCACTCCTGGAGACATCCCTGCACCATGCACGCACAGACAAATATTAATTAGGTTCATGGACACACGCAGAGTCGTGGTCACAACTATGTTCGCCCCACTGTGGCTACTTGCTCTTGTTTTGAAGGATCTGGTGCTTAAACAGAAAGATTCATGTTTTTGTGACAGAATCTAGAGACATGACTAGAGGGGAAAAGGAGGAGGCTCAGTCTCCCCAGAGCTCACTGTCCTGCTTTATAATTCATTGTACTCTTTGACTTTGTCCCTGCTTAACCTCAGGATTATCTGCTCTCTGATACCGAAAAGGCCAATGGGCCAGATAAGGATAATTACACTGGTGTCTTGATCCTATTAGTGGATGTGCAACTGGATAGATGTGGCACAAAGCTAGATATGACACAGTCTGGACGTGTGTGTCCACAGCGGGAAGTATTTTTCCACAGCCCTTCAACAACGCTCTTCTGCAGGATTTTCGGGGCATTTTAATTATTAAAAGACTGTTGTTCAAGTTCTCATGACTGTTGGCCAGAAACTTTTTTTCTGCTACCACGACCTGCTGCAGTCTTTGAGGTGCGAATGTAAGATTAGGGAGAAATGAATTTAGACGCACTGCTGAAGCGATGCGCTCATGTGTCCCAATGCATCATCTTGTCTTTCTTCCGCCCACTGTCAAAGCTATCAGAGCAAATTTGGAGATATATTTAGATGCAGAGGATGATTTGGGAATGAGAGAGGAGACTAAAAAAAAAAGAACCAGGAGTATAATTGCAACCCTTAATTGGCCCGTGATTCATCGCCCCTGGACAAGCTATTTTTGCTTATCCTCTCCTTTTGTCTGTCTTTTGATTCCATGGGGTGTCAACATCACGCCCACCTCTCCGTCTCTGTGCGCGCCCTCAGGAGAGCTGAGATATAGAATATAGAAATAAACTCCTCTCTCTCTTTCCAACACACACACACACACACACACACACACACACACAAAGGAGTGACATCATTCTGTCAGCAGGAGAAAATAGCATGCTTTCCATTGACATCACTCTACATCCCGTTGCTAGGAGACAGGGGAGTCAACATTAGTTACTATGGAGACTGCACTTCACCTTCAAAGCTCCTGACCTTTTTGGTTGTGCACGGTAGACGAGAATGTGTGTGTGTGTGTGCTCGTGTGTGTGTGTGTGTGTGTGTAAGAGACAAACGGGAGCTCTAGTGTTGTGTAACATGAGCATCCAAGGTCTTGTTGACTCAGTCGCTGCAGAGTAGTGAATATTACAGCACATTCTAGAAAAATAAAAGACCTCAGAGACATTTGCTCTCCGGTGGTAAAGTGAGACAACAATGGAGGTGAAGTGTTATTATGCATGAATAAGTGAGAGAAAACCGACTGCCACTGTTCCATGAGCAGTTCAAACATGAGAGCTCTTACATCATTTATCAACAGATCAGGTGTGTTTACGAGTTGTTTCCAGAGGGGTTGAAAGCAAAGACTGGAAACATTAATGAGTTGATATAGTATATTTATTTATATTTATATATATATATATATATATACAGCTATATATATATATATATATATACACATTTCTTCTTTCAAGAAACCAACTCCTAACAGTGTCTGCTGTGTTTACCTGAGGACAGAAACTTTAAAGAGGTCCAGCATCAAAGAGTGATTGTACTATGAGCAACAGAAAACAGCACGAGTGAGAGGGTATCACGTTGGGAATATAGCTGGTTTATGCTAGAGGAAAACCATGTTTGGTAAACTACTACCACATGCTGATGATAAAGTTATTAACACAGCAAGATCACAGTGACTGGAAACAGCCCCTTCAGACCTTAAACAACAAGGAGCTTTAGATTCATATAAAGAAAAAAAAAAAAAAAGTGAGGTTGAAATTGAAGGACATTTTCAAGTGGTTGGCTAGAATACATTTTGCACAGTGTTACAGAAACTGCTACAGACTGTCCCAGACACAAATGTTTCATAACTCCCTTAATTAACATCATTGGATGGAAGGAGAGTCGGTGGCTAAAAGTGTGGCTGAAGAGCCGCTCCAATCTTGTTTCAATTTCGGTCCTTTTTTGGCACAATTGGAGCAGCTTTCTCAGCTGTCATTTGCTAATTGAGTTTAACAGGCGCATCAATGCCAGTCCTCTACAGAGGGACACGGGCAGAGGTGGGCATTACAGGGCTTTTTTGGATTAGGTTGAGTTCAGGGCCAGTTTTCCACTCCAAGTCTGGTCCTCTTTGCCACCCTACACATGGAGGGGTAATGTTGTCCCAACAGGACATTCTTTCCCCCCCTTCCCAGCACCAACCACACATCCCTGCCGTCCCTTCAGTCCCTGAAAGGGCACAAAACTCATCTACTTCTACACTTATCCACACGTTACATCTCAGTCAGATCTGTGATCTTGACGAGTTGATGACTACAGAGTGTTACATGAGTGTGGCTGCAGTCCTTGCTGGTGGAGGTCGAGGCTTCTCTCACCTGACAAAGACAAACTACATTCTGTTTGGTAAATCATTTGTACTTTTCCCACCTTTGGCTTTTATGTGCACAAGCTACTTGAAGAAACAAGCAGAAAAAACACAATGAGTTTCATGAGTTATACAGTTAAAAAAAAAACATGACAGGCTTTCTCTGACTGACTAAACGGGAAATGTCCATTCCCCCAACTTGTATAAAAGGGTAAAGATACCCCATAAAGGTAAACAATGATACACATACTGTATATACCTGTATAGTCCTTCTCTAGAATATCACTCCTTTGCTTTCCTTGCTAGACATGAGACCACTTATACTAACTAGTCTCATAAGACCGGTACAGTGCTGATTTGAATATCAATGAATGTCAAGTCATCGTAAGTACGGGTGCTCTGTGCTATGGCTCTGCTCCAGAATATATGACACTGATATAAAACAAAGGGCAACACAAACAATAAAACCAGTTTCTAAGACGTGGCAATAGTTAAACTAATAATAACAGAATTTTCTCACACATTTCGACACTGAGGTTCTGAACCAACAATTATAATCAACAACATTAACTAATAAAAATGCACAAACAGTGAGCTCATTAACAGCAATATGTACAAGGAGGGACAATCACAGGGACGTGACACATCTTGTGGGATGCGTTTGTCAAATCCAGCACAGCTAAATGTACATTACATTCCTCTGACTTCTTCTTAAACTGAAAGGTAAGCTTTTTTCCTCTAAAGCCATGCAGACTGTCAGGAGGTGAACTCATTACTCCCTTTCTAAGGCATGGAGCGTCGGGTCCCTCAGAGGGATCCTTAAGCTCTCAAGATGACTGAGTTCTCAGTGTCCTTGCTGAGCGTGGATGAAAACATGACATTTATTCCATCCTTTCATCCTCACTGCATCTTCTCTTCCAGCACCTTACTCTTCTCCCCCACATCAGCAGCCACGGACTTCCAGTATCGATGGCAGGACAGCTCCAGCAGCTCCACCCCTCCAACCAGCTTCTGTTGGGCCATATACACTCCGACCATGACAATGAAGAAGAGCCTGAACTGAGCCCACAGCCACAGGCCGGTGAAGCAGAAAGCGATGAAGCTGGTCCAGTACAGCAGCGAAGCGGTTTTGATCAGAGCCACGCGAAGCTCCGTCTTACAAGGCGGGACACGTGCAACACCCTCCCTGTCGAAGGCCCGGGGCTGGCCTGAGTAGAAGTCCCGCAGACGGCTCTCCTTCTCGACCCAGCGATCGCGACACCAAGACTCCAGGTCGGAGGAGGCGGCGGGCAGCGAGTCCACGGGGTAGCGGCGGACGTGGAAGTGGATCTCACGGGGGAAAAGGCCCAGGATGAGGTGGCGCTCGGTCTGAGGGATGTTCTTGGGGTATGCCACTGTGATGTCATGGACAGCATCCAGGTTGTCTCCTAAGAAAAAAAAAAGGACAAAATTTTGAACCATCAAAAATGAAGCTTAGCATACTTTATACATTTTTTGTCTCAATCCTATATCACAGTTGCTGCCACAGCCTCTTTATCTCCTTAATCAAATATCTCTCAAACAATTCCAGATGATTTAGGACTCAGCTGCCTGGATTTGAACCAAAATGATCATAACACTCGACTGCTTTGGCTTCTTCATGCTGGCTCTGTGTGTATTTTAGGATTTTGTTGATTAATTTGGAGGCTCTTGTTGGCCTTACTCCCTGCTAAATCTCTGACCTCTATACCCCGTAGAGGGGGTATTTCAGGTGTTTTTCTTTTACATCAAAATGTCCTATCTGTCACCAGCACCTTACTGACATCCTACTTTCTTTTTTTAACGTGATGATTTGATGACTTATCTGTTCTTTTTGGCTCTCTTTGTGACGCACTTTTAACTTAGTTTATAATTAAATCCAAAATAACATTCAACTAAACTCTTCACTTCATGTAAACCAGTAGTTTCAGTTTTCACATCATAATACTGCAAGGAAACTGAAACTGTTTTCTTTGTTCAACATCTACACATCAGTGGAGTTGTGTTTAAAATACCGGCTCTTGCTCCATCACTTATGTACCACTAATTATCCAGGAGCTCTATACCTTTAAAAGTACCACGAGCCCAAATCAACATGACAGTTCTACAGTGTCCTTACAACAGATAGATAACACTGAATTAAATAACAAGTGGACAGGATGACACCTTCCAGCGCCTGCTTCTGTATAACTCAGCTCCACCACGGTAAAAATAGAGCTGAGAGGGGCACTTTGGACTTGGACAAAGAACAACATGCATAGCATGTCAGTCAGCGGTGCAGCGACAGGGAGAGGAGAATTTGCAAAGTGTGATGACATCACACTGATTCACAACACCTGCTTGGAGAGTTAGTGCCATGCTCAGCATCCAGGGCGGGTGAGGGACGAGACAACAGGCCCAGAGGTGGTATTTAAGAACTCTGGAGGACTGCCAGAATTAGCTCATAGGGAAACATGAGAGTCTCGGGGGTGTTGTAATGACTGGCGGTAGGATGAGGCAAAGGTCTGACACTTTGAGGAATAACAGGTATGATGGTTTGTTCCACAAACAGCGTCAGTGGATTAACTACAATCCCCATGACAGTGTGTTGTTTTCTCCCTTGGTTTGGGTGAAAGAATATTTCCATCACTGTGGTGACTTACAGCACACTCAGCCGTTTGACTACCAACTAACACTAACACCTTTGGTACAAGTGAATCATGGGTGGTTGTCTCGATCAGTGTTATCGTGAACCTCAGAGACAGCCGACGTGGATAGCAGCTGACCTTTTCGTAGTCTGTCCACGATGAAGGTGAATCCGGTGGTGCGAGGATGCAGCACGTACTCGAATTTCGGCAGGTTGTTCTTAGCCGCGAACGCATCACTCTTTGTTCTTGTATTGTCTGCAAGAGAAAATTCATTTCAATGTTAAATTCAAAACTCTCGTGTAACATCTGAAATTGTGGAATGTACCTTTAAGATAAACTGGGTTGCTAAGTTACTTGTTTTATCCTTGTGCTATGAACGGATGCCTGCTGTAACTGAGCTCCTACTTTTCCTTTTGCCTCTCAACTCAACACTAACATGAGGGCTCGTGTGGACATGTGTGATAAAACAACGCCGCTCTGTAAGGTTGATGTGCAGTTTGTAACAGACGACGAGCATTGTGGGAACTCCAGACACGTGTAATTGCGCACTTTTGGCTAACTTTATATCGCCGTCTTCAACACTCTTCAAAACACCACTAACCAAAAGGCACTTGGTGTGCTATACTAATTAGTGCAGATACGGTTCAATATTTAAAAAACAATGTTTGTCTCGGGATACGACCAGATTCATGACTCCTCATTAGTGCAGGAACATGAAAACTCTATCATGACTCATCATATAATGCAACAAGAAGCTGCTTCAGGCCCACTGGTAGGACAAAGGGAATATTTGCAGACCTGTGTTGGTCAGGCCTCTGCTCTTCTTGTGAGACAGTGCTTTCATTCAGTCCTTGCAAGTTTCAATCAGGGTCATGAGAGGAACTTAAGTGCACCCAGGACACGAGCCTGTAGATTGGGGTCTGTGTGTTTGTCTCAAGATTAAGCATTAGGCGTGTAAAGACAGAACATACTGTTCGTTTCTTAGGTCAAATTAATCCTAGAGGTCTAAGTGGCTTAAACACAGACGTGTGTGTGTGCACTTGCAGATAAAAACACATGCACAGGCGTGAACAGAACCCATGTTTAAAGCCTTAAATCTGCTGACCAATTATGATGCAACTCTCGTACCCACCCTCATGACATCATGGTTAGTAAAGAGAAGTTAAGCCTCCCCTTATTAAGTTACTCTGGACTTTGACTGGCTTAATTAAGATCGGCAATGGCTTTAGACACTGGTGTCGCTGTTGTTGTAGCTGGGAGATCAGAGCATTCCTACAGAAATGACAGAGGGGTGTAATTCAGGGGATATGACCACATCGTGTCATTTGGAAATTGTGTTTGCGTAACAGCGTCAGTGCAAAGGTGTATGACAGGTGGAGGGTCACGGTGGTCTGGTGGGTAGCTTACTCTGGGAAAAACAACTGAAATGTAGGCAAATTGTCCCCTGAATAGACAGATTGTTGCACTGTTTATGTCTCACCTGTGAGGTCTGTGCCCTCTGGGAACAGGAGCAGCTGCAGGGGCTCTCTGATGTCACAGAAGTAGTCCAGCATGTTCTCCATGTGCTTCTTGTCCTGCTCCCAGCGACGCTGAATGAAGATGAAGGCGGCCACCTGCATCGCCCAGCCTGGAAAATAGAAAATGTTTCCCTTATGAAATTGATTACTTTACAAAAGATTCTCTCAGATTTTCAAAGCAGGCAGGGGATAAGTTTTCCAGGAAAAGCATCTGTCATTGGTCCTCATGTTTACCAATACTCTGAAACGTACAGCCTGAGGCGGGTCAAACCTGGGCCTTCTTGTAAGAATTTTTTTTTTTTTTTTTTTTCTTTTAAACTTCATTCAGTTTAGAGTTTATTAAAAACGTCATTCAGAAAAAATGGATTGTTATAAAACAGACCTGTAATCAATCCCACCATCCCACAGGTCATCATGTTTGGGTGTGTTTTAGAGTTAAACTGAATTCATAAGTTTGCACTATGAGCTGCAATTCATGGTTGTTTATTTTCATGCCATCATACTGTGTCTTTAAGTCTGGATACCAACTTTGTGTCAATAACAGAACCAGAAAAAAATATTACAAAATATGATTAAACCCACAAAGTGAGGATTTATTGCATGATTTTTGTAATACACTGCATTTGATTTGGTTTCTTAGCAATTTTGCATTTTTCCAACTTTTTAGACGTGCTCTAATCTTGGGTTATATTGCTCCTTTTATATATTCACTTTTGCCTGACTGCATTGTTATTACCTCCTACTGTGGAATGAAGCAGCTTTGCAATAATTGTATGTGTCTGCAGAGCAGAGATTACAAGTCTGTGTGTGTGTCTGTGCTGAGAAAATTGCACCCACTGTTTACCCACCAAAACCAGGCACAGCCTTCAGGATGGCCTTGAGGCAGATCTTCTCCAGACGCAGGTAGCTGTACCTGAGCAGACAGCACCACAGAAACATCCAGTCCAGACGGGTACGATGGTTCATGATGATCACGCTTCGCTCCCCGGGAATGAAGCCATCGCCTGTTATCACCACCTTCACCCCAAACACCAGCTCCAGCAAGGACTGCGAGGAGGACGGGTTGCCAGGGTGGAGGGAGGATGAAGAAGAAATAGAAGGAAGGGGAGGATGGGAGGGGGTAAAAGAAGGGAGTAAAACAGAGAGGTGGATGACATGGAGGGGAGAAAAGATGGATCATATGTAAAGAATGTAGAGGGAGAGAGGAGGGACTGGGAAGGAGAAAGGTGGTGGAATAAATGTGAAAGAGGTGAGAGACGGAGAGGAACATAAATTAATAATGCCATCAATTCATCTGATCACTGTCAACAAGATTTGCATAATTGCTCTCCAGGGCGATGTGATCAAATGATACTTGACAAAAATAAAATCGTATTAATCAGAGGGGGCATAAATAAGGCTGAGATGACGCAGGTTGCCGTGACGGTGTAAACACAGGTACCTTAAGACCATCTGGCAGACACACAAGTAGGCTAAGTAAAGGCTAAGGTGATGTACACACCACAGGCAGGGTGAGCCAGGTAGCCACGATGCGGTCGGTGATCCAGCGGTACCAAGCAGGAGACAGCAGCATGAGGGGCAGAACTGGACCCAGCATGAAGACACTTCCAAAGAAGCTGCCCAAGAACAGGGTCACCACAAAGTACAGGCCCCGCACCGACACAGCCATCTGCGGAAACAGAAGGCCAGATTAGAGCTCCATTACTCAAATGGGATTGAGCAGTGGAAAGGGTTGATCTGAAGTATTAAGAAAAAAGGATGAAACATGATGACGTGGGAATTTATTCCTGTTTTGGAATTCCACTCTGGAAAAGAGCTTAAGAGGAGTAACTCTGTAACATGAAACAAACGGGATTATCCGCCGCCTCATCAATAGCAAACACTGCTGTTCTCTTGTTCCTCTGACATATTTTCCCACAAACAGTGGAAAATCCAGGGTTGACATTCCTACTGGGGAATGTAAATAGGGGAACCTTTCAGACTGTGGGTGACAAATTGTGGGTCGGTGGGTGGTCACTAAATCAGGAGTAGCTGTGGCTTCCAAATTATTCACTGACGGTGCAGACTGAGCGGGGACAAAAACATTTTCTGATGTTCTTCCTCATAAAGGAAAATTGATGCAACATAACCCAAATTAGCCACTGAATAACCATTAGGTGAATCATTCAGGTTACCAATAACATTATGTGACATTATGAAATACCATGATACAATATTGATAGCAGATTTTCAATACAATAGTTTGAACGAAGACATGAATAATTATATTACAAGCTTAGTTTAATAATTCTCTTTCTGATGCATTACAAGCACACAGACATTATTAACAGCTGCGTATGCGTTACTAGATATTTTGAAATGCAGCTGATGTGGTAACCTGTTTAAAATAAAATGTCATACATAGTAAGTTCAGACAGACACCAACGCTCAGGATGAACATAATGGAAGAGGATTTAAGTAGACTGAACATGGTTATGGCATGTTTGTTACAGTAGCTGAGACATAGCAGAAATACCACATGTTCATTAGATCCCTGCAGGAAGAGGACTGAGCCTGTAATCCTTCTGAAATTCAAACCCAAGTAGCGGGACCTTCAATTGTCAATGACACATCTGACAGTTTAAAGGGGCTCATCTGGAGATGCCAAAGGGGATCCCTTGTCATTCAATGACATCAGTGGTGACCACTTTGGCCTATGGTAATTGTATACTTGTGAGGCATGTACCACTTGAATATCTCTACATGTTGTACTCACACTGATTAGACTTCATCTCAGAACTATGTGTTTGAAGAGATTCTCCCTCTCCCTTTAGTCCGTTTTGTTATAGATATTTTACTTCCTAGATAGGCTTGATCAAACATGTGAATAATTTTAAATTATGAAAATTATCTATAAATTTAATTAAAAGTCTTTAGTAGTCTGACAACTTTTAAACACTAGTTGTGTCGTTCAGGACCTTTTAAAGGTCACATATTGTGCAAAGTACTGCTTTAACATGTTTTTCTAACACTAATATGTGTGCCTTGTCCGTCTAAAACCCCCTCCAATTATGAGAAAAGTCCATTCTCTCTGTTTTTTCCTGTTCCACTTTTCAGAGAACTTGTGTTCAAACAGGCTGTTTGGAGATTTTCCCTTCATGACATCACAAAGGGCAGTAACCTGTCCCCCAGGTGGGTGACACTGCCACAGCTAGGTGTTTGTTCTGCCTTCTCACCGTAAACAATAGGGCATGGAGTGAGAAAGCCCGAGCCACCCAAGCCCTTCCAGAGAGGGGGAGTGGTTAGACACAGCTCATTTGTATTTAAAGCTACAGACACAGAAACAGCCTGTTCTGAGCAGGGCTGAAATAGAGGGGTTTACTGGCATGATCAAATATAGGATCGGAGTTGGATTTTTGGGGAGAAACTTCACAGACTGTTTTGGGGAGCTCTGAGACTAACATGCCCAAACGTTACTATTTATTCCCACACAGTCAAACAAAAACCTGAGTGGAAGAAAAAACACTAAAAACATTCAAGTCAAATTTCCCTTGAGCAAGTCACTTAAATAGCAAACGTTTTGATATACTGCATGTGTACATGCTGAAGCACTTGTGATGAACAACTATGTAAATAAACATGATCTGACTTTCTGAAGAACATTGAAGTGTTTAGTTATAAGTCGTGTCTTTATAAGGCATGTTCAGAAAAACTAAAAAAAAAAAAGCAGTCTTTCCAAACAACCTTCACCAAAAATAAAATTAGCTTATATCAAGCTTCACACTCGAGAAAGTAAATGACTTCCAAGTCTGCTGAGACAAAGGTTAAAGGGGAGATACAGTGAGTCTTAATTTAATAAGGCCCTGGCCTTGATGACGCAGAGAGACGGAGCTGATGCTACAGGGACCCTTCTCATCCAGCAGGTGTTTTTTCATCTCGTATTTGAACTGCGGTTCACACCTTTCCACCTCAATTACTGTTATGATTGCACAAGCCCGAAGCTCACACCAATCTCCCAACACTCCCGTCATCTCTCCCTCATCGACAGCCTCTGCGGCACGATGACGCAGCACGTCTCACAGCAGCCACCAAAGCGGCTGAAGGTGCATTTAAAAGATGCAAACGTGTTTGCGTGCATGATTATCCCAGCAATAAGGGTTTAAGGGTTGCTGCTTTTAACAACGGAAAATGTGAAGCACGAGAGACGTGAGACAACAGCCTTGCTCAGCACAACTGCTACAATTATGCCACGTCCCCACAAACACAGAATACACACCCTTGGGTGGCTGCACCAACAATCTGAGTAGTCTGCTCATGCAAACATTGGAAAGGTATGACACATCTGTAGCCAGAGATGTGAGAAGTGAATGGAACGGTATTAAAGTGTTAAAAAAACATGTTTTTGTTCTGCTTTGCATGGACAACTGGGATACAAAACTGTAAATATGTGGCTTACAGTGAAACAGTTTGTTTCCATTCTTCAAAGCAAGCACTTTTGTGAGTTTGTTTTAGTTGTAGTCCCTTCTATTTCGGTTTGTTAAACATTTATGTAATCACCATAGAAATGAACCTGAGAGCACTTCCCCAAACACAACCGTCGTGCATTACACAGCCTCTTATTCCACTTCTAAAGTTTCTGGCAGACATTTAGCATTCCTTACTTTAAGCCAAGACCAGACATCCCAGCAGAGCAAAGCAGAGTTAAGAGGTCAAGTATGTCTAGGCTGAGCAAGGAGCTTCAGTGGTGTGTGTGTGCGTGTGTGCGTGTGTGTGTGCGAGTGAGAGATGGACAAAGAGGGAAAGGAAGAAAAGTAGATAATGCTGCAAAATGATTACAAATAGACTTTTAAGTGCAGAGCTGTTTCACAAACTGAGGGACATCTCTAGAGAACCGTCATCCTCCTGAACTGTGCCGTACAAATCTCCAACTCGCTGTGAAAACAAAAACAGTCCTTTTGCAAGACTTTTCAAACGTCTGAGATTGGAGGGGTTTAAGCCACCTCCCAAACTCTTAAATTTGCAAATACAAAAAAATGCCAGAACAAGATGGCTCTTCTTCATTATACAATTAAGGAAAATATAATATTGGGAGCAAATAAAACACTACAACTTTGCATGTTTGGGATCCCTTTCAACTGAACTACTGGAGGTCATTTAGAGCTGGAAAAGCTTCACAACCTCATGGGATAATTTGATATTTTTGTAGAGGACTTAAGCCTATTTCGTTTATGATGATAAAAAGATTTTCTGAAGTATCTTGCCATGGCTGCATCTTCTAGTGTTTAACAAAAGCCCAGCAGGCAGGTATCGGGGGTTGATTTGTTGTGCATTCTTTGAAATGGAAAGCTAGATATGATGCACAAAGACTCGCAACACCATGGCTCCCAAAGATATACTTATTTATTTGCTATTCAAATTTAAAAAACAAGCCTGACCGGGCTCTACATCAGAGGTCGGGCTCAGAATTTTGTTTTGTAATGCATATAGCAAATATATAAATATGCATATCTTTGACGCCATAGTGACGCATATCTTCGTGCTTCATTTCCAGTGTTTTTTCAGCATCTGAATAAGATTAGGTGTGTGTTTGCTAACTCCAACCACCAAAGACTTCACATTGCATATGGAAGAAATTGTATTAATTTTTACTTTTGATCTCATTGTGCTTCAGCTGAACATAAAGTTAATCTTTAAGTCGTGACTTTGAAGTAAGGTGCATGTCTGCTTCATACACATTTTTCAGATAAACAATAACTGCCACACCTCGTTTATGCAATGTAATTATAAGACCAATAAACAGCTGATATCTAAGTGGTACACTTACAACATATGTTCAATCATCACAAGGTGGAGCAACGCAGGAAATGTAACCACAAACAAATCGGTTGTGTAATGTTTAATGTTGACTTTGCCTTGCTCTGTTTTTAAATCCTTATTTTAGTTGGCATGGTGCTCCGTGCGTAAATAATGCATCCATGTCCTGTATGCAAAGAAATGAAAACCCAGCAGGTAACGTTAAAACAACAGTGAGATGAAGGAGTGTCAAAATGACCCAGTTAAGTTACTGGAAAGGTAATGACATTATAAACTCCTCAAAAAAAAGTTTGGAAACATTATTTGGGTCACTTATTTCGCCCCTTTAATAATACTAATTGCTGTTGTATGTTATATCATTGGAAAGCCTGATTAGTCACCTTTACGACGAGGTGTAACTTGTAAGGATCGTGCATTCGTGGGGGAATGTGCAACACAGCTAAATTTGTGGGTAGAGCCCTAAAAAAAAAAAAAAGCAGCCAAATCCCCTGCAATATTCTTCTGTTGGTTTTCACTCCTGTTTTGAGCTTCAGGTGTGAGCCAGTTTCAGGTGTATGACTGACACCTGACTGGTGTCTTGTGGGATGAGTTTGGGCGTGCTGTTCATGCCAGAGTGACGCTGGTTGACCTTCAACAACTCCTGGTTGAGGAGTGGGACGCCATCCCACAGCAGACTGGTGACCAGACCAGCATGAGGAGGAGGGGCCAAGCTGTTGTGGCCTCGTATGGATCTTCCACACGCTACTGACGTCCCTGACAGTGTGAAATGCATAAAGCAGTGGTGGGCAACTGGCGGCCCAGGGGGAGCCACATGCGGCCTCCATCAACCCTCGGGTCAACTTTTACATATCAATTAATTGGGAACATGAAGAAAACATGACAAAATATGCCATGAAATCATGAAAACCAGAAATATGTCCATAATAATAAAAGATCACTGGTTTAAGTTGAGTTAAATTTGAGACATAATTGACTGTTATCGTTTTTTGTATCCTACAATTTGGCCCCCTGGCAGTGAGAATTAAATGGATGTGACCCCTTGCTGTGACCAAAGTTGCCCATCCCTGGTATAAAGTGTAAAAAGCTTATTACTGTGGGAGAGTGCAATCATCAATTCCACCAAGAAACTCAAAACAGGAGTGAATCCCACCAGGAGAACATTGCAGGGGATTTTGTGCTACTCACACATTTAGCTGTGTTGCTCAATCCACGAATGCACCATCCTTACAAGTTACACCTCGTTGTAAAGGTGACTAATCAGGCTTTCCAACGATATAACATACAACACCGATTAGTATTATTACAGGGGCGAAATAAGTGACCCAAATAATGTTTCCAAACTTTTTTTTTTTTGAGGAGGCAGACTGTAAGTGCATGGGCAGACATCACAGAGACACATATTACAACTTATTACAAGATAAGAAAACTATCATGTGTTAACCTAACCTTAACATTGCGTTGTTCAGACACTAAAGGTACAACGACCAAAACAAGAAAAGCTACATCCGGGTAATTCACGTTTAATCCAGGTAAACAACATGCATGCTAACGTGAACCTAGCGAGCCTAATCTTGACATTACACAGCATCTTTACACGACTTATTTTAAAGCCACTGCCATGAGTGCAACAACAAACTTTCAGTATCAATACATACCCACCTTTCAGTTTTGTTTGTTTTCCTCTCCAGAATAAAAGCTTGTTTTTTAGGCGAGCTAGTTGTGTTAGCTCCACTGAGTCCACACACTGGGTTGCGACATGCTAGCAGGTTGCTAACGGTTAGCTTACGTGACAGCAAAGATTACGCGCGGAAATTCTCCACTAAAGCCCGCAAAGATAACGCGGGAAAAAAAAAGAAGAAAAGAATTGCTCCGGAAACTGATTTGTTTTTTTCTCGCTTAGATATTAGGCGAGTCTCTCACCTGATTGCCCCTTTTTTTCCTCTACAAAACTAACAGTGCAGTACGAGAGTAGCCACCGCCTCACCGTTTTGCTAACACGACCTCTCAACTTGTCACCCCTCACCTGTCGTTACACCCTGACGTCAACAGGGGGCGCTGTTCGTGCAACGCTACACACACACATGCAGGATGGTGATTTCAAACCGCAGACTCAAACTAAAAAGCAAAAGCTTTGGTGAGCCCTCATACTGAGTGCTATGTAGATGTTACATGTAGTTTGTGCCTTTAGTTGATGTTTTTATTGTGTTTCAAGCAGTTAAATTAGCAGCACTCATAAGAGTATTGTAGGCTGTGTTAGGGACATTAACAAAATGGGAAAAAAAAAAATCAATTCTAATAGAATAGAATATAATAGAATTACTTTATTGATCCCAAACTGGGAAATTGTGGCGTTACAGCAGCAGGTTATCCAAACACACAATATGAGTAAAAAAAAACACAATGTTAGCAAATTTAAACACAATATAATATTAAATACAAAGTAAATAAGCATTAAAATATCAAAACTAAGAATGGGAATATATACAACCAGGATTTAACTAAGCATTACTAGTCTTAAATATGAAGATTATGGGCAAAAAACACAATGTTAGCAAATCTAAACATGATATAATATTAAATACAAAGTCAATAAGTACTAAAAATATCAAAACTAAGAATGTGAATATATACAACCAGGATTTAACTAAGCATTACTAGTCTTAAATAGGAAGATTAAATGTAAATGTGCAAAAACAGAGTCGGAAATGGTTGCAAATTAAATATGGAAGATTAAATGTAAATGTGCAAAAACAGAGTCGTAAATGGTTGCAAATTAAATGTGGAAGATCAAATGTAAATGTGCAAAAACAGAGTTGGAAATGGTTGCAAATTAAATATGGAAGATTAAATGTAAATGTGCAAAAACAGAGTTGTAAATGGACAGTATTGACATAAGTTAAAGTGCACGAGTGTAGACATATTATAAGCAGAAACTATACAATATAACGGCGAGTAGACAGACAAATGAAGTGAACATGAGTGCAGGGATAATTTGTAAATTTAAACATGTGCAGAACAGATGACAGTATGGAGAGACAGATATTATCATGATGACAGTTCTCTGCTCGCATGAGGTGAGCTGTTGTAAAGAGTTATGGCCTTCCGGTAAGAAAGATTTCTTGTATCTGTCCTTGTGACAGCGGAGTTGTATCAGTCTGTTGGAGAAGCTGCTCTGCTGTTTGTCCAGTAGGGTGTGCAGAGGGTGATCAGGATTATCTATAATGGATAACAAAATGGGGAAAAAAAAAAAAATTCTAATGTGGTTCTATCTTGAAATAGCCTATATTTAAAACACTGATAACACATTTTGCAAATACTTAAATATAGGTGTAAGTCCTGTATTATTTCCATACCAAAGTTGTAGTCTACGGTGTCAAATATGCCTGAACAATAAATATATAAATGTTAAATCAAAAATGAAGGTGCTCAATTTGCTAAAAATGTCCCTGATGTTTGTAGCAGCTTTTTTTCTAATGCTGGTGACGGTGATGATAGTCAGATAGATCAAAATGCATCATATTTAAAAGCTGTTCATGGATTAATTTATCTTCAAAGTAACATGTAGCTATAGTTGTGAGCACAATATTTCCAATAATTATAATTATTTCTACAATAAAGATAAATATCAGCTGCCTTCAACCTCAGTGTATAATAAACAAAACCACAAAGTAAAGTTCACCGGTATAGATTTATATCATCCAGATATTTGCATCCAAATGAGAAGTCGTCTATTCATTTATTTAAACAGATTTCCTTTAATAATAAGTAAAAATGAAAAAAGAATTACAGCAGCAGCCGTCAACACTGCACTGACACAAACTTCATTGGTCATGACCTTTGGTTAAAGTGTTTTAAGAGTAAATATCTGACGTGCCTCACAGTGGTTTAACAGACTCCACCTAATAACCTACTTTCTTTCTGGGACACTAACCTTTGCTTTTGCTGTGACATGAATACCTTTAACTTGTTTTCCACATTGAAGATATGTTACTGATTTAAAAAGATGAGCCGTGATTGGATAATGTGTGTCAGTTTCTTAACTCCTTTGCGCTCAGTGGTCCTCTTCAGAGCTTGTAAAGTTTTGCACATGTTGCAATGTTCCTCCTCATGATCCCCATGTACAGTAAGTAATGTGCAAAGAACAGTTTTACTCAACTCTCAAGCAAAGTTTCATGATACACTTGCTGACTGATCCCCCCCGAACATAACCTATTATAGTAAATCCTAGCATGTGTCATTTGTTTCTTTAACCCACAGATATGAGCTGTTCTTCTGTTACAGAGTTACCTCAGCATTCAGTGATGTGTGCAAGATTGGTCAATGTGTCTGAGCGTATGGGAGCATACACATGTTCTCTCCTGTGTGTGTGTGTGTGCGTGTGTGTTGGTGGATAAACTAGAGTCAGATAGACAGACAGACTGGGTAAAAGAGAGAGTGCACTTAGTCAAACTCAAGACTTTTCCATGACCTGCTCCCTATGGCATGCACTCTATCTGAGAGACTGAGTGAACACTATAGCTCTGTCAGTATAAACTCCTCAAGGGTCAACGCATCACTTCAGAGAGGGAACGGAAAAACTTTGCTTTGAAACAAGCTCTCTCTCTCTCTCTCGCTCTTTCTTTTTTTTTGTAGTGCCAGCTCACCTTCAAACAAGAAGCACATCCACATGATTAATGACGCTTGTCAGAGATAATTTAGCAGAAGCAATATGATTGGATACTCCTAATCATATTCCCTTTGGAGAAACCAAAATATCTAAGCCCTCTGGTAAGAATCACAGTCATTTTAATGCGTTAAAAACAAAAAACATGTGCACTCTTGCTATGTTTGCTTTTAAAGTCCACATGGGAGGTAAGCCAGGAGCTATGCAACTTTTCTTAAAGGATCAAATTAACAGATAAATGTAAAGAATAACAACCATGTGGACATGCCTTTCCACTTATGTAACGTAATGCTGGAGAAACAGAGTGACTTTTTTTGGGCATAGCACACTGTGTTTGAGTTTATTTTCAATTGGGTTTATTGATAGCGTTTAAACAAGGCTTTATTGAAAAGGAAACTCAAGTATGTTGGTTTTAAAACATTTTTGCCTCTTAGGGACCTCTTGTGCTCTTTTGGCAGTTCAAAGAGGGGACATCATGGATGATTTAACTCGAAGGCTTCTTCTCTTTCACTTCACTTCCTCCTCACGCTGACAACATGTCTCATCCTCACACCTGTAACAGCGCTTTGCACGTTACTGTAACTTCAGTTTTGCTGGTTTTTATTCCAGTGTTTTCATCTCCTTCTACGTCCTGCTCCTATCCCCATGTCTCTTTCTTCTTCTTCTTTTTTTTCCCATCCTGGTCTCTAGGCAATAAGGATTAAGAGTGGCGGGGCTGTAAGCAGTCTATTTATATCAACAAGAGCCTTTGGAAGAGCAATAGGCTGTGGCTTAGCACATTATCACACAAAAATACAGTGTAATGCAGATTTACTGTAGCGGACTTGTATTGAGTGGAAAGTTTGGGGGTAGTTATATCACCATGTAACAGAAAACAACATTAAAAAAAACATTCCCATGGTGCTTAGACTCATCTGTCCAAATACATGCTGTGGTTGTGAGTCCAGCAGGTGCACTGTGTCTTTAAATCCTCGACTGTTGACTTACAGTTACAGTGAGGAATTTAGCAGTATTGAGTATGCTTGATTGTAATTAATAGTTTCGGTGCTGTTTCGGTGTTTTTTCTTTTAAATATCAGATATATTAAGGGAAGAACTTGGTTATCATATCTGAGTGAAGGTTGAGGTCAAAGGGGTTCAAGCTTTTTCTGTGATGGCGCCTTGACTCTGGAACAGTCTTTCACTCCCCATCTGATCAGCTGACTGTGTTTCTGCATTTCAATCCAGCCTTAAGACTCATTTTTACAGACTTGCATGTTTAGCCCCCTGGTTGTCCCTATCCTTCTGCCTGAAACTCATCTCATTTTTCAAGTCTGGCTCAGTTTCGGCAGACAGCTGTTCAACATAAGTCTGGATTTGCCCAAGATTTCTGCCTCTTAAAATGAAGTTTTTTCTTGTTGCCACTGTAACTTTGCTAAATGTTGCTAAATTGTGCTCATGAGGGATTAACGTCGGGTCTTTGTAATACAACAACGAGTAAGGTCTTTTACCTGCTCTTTTGTTAAATGTCTGAAGATTACATTTGTTATAAAGTGACGCTATACAATTAAAGATTGACTGATTGCACTCCTGTTGTATTGTTTTTAGCTTAATTTGTGTTTGGCTCTTTTAACATAAGGACATAAGTAAGATTATTGTCATTGTAGTAGTCGACAACAAAATTCTGTTTGGCATTCTCAATAGAAAGCAGCATTAAAAAGCTCAAAAACACAACACAAGGAAGCACTGATAGCCTAGTGGTTATGTTGTGCGCCCCATGTACAGAGGTTTTAGTCCTCGTTGCAGCGGTTGTGAGTTCAATTCCGGCCTCGGCCCTTTTCTGCAACATTTCCTGTCTCTCTTCAGCTGTCCTAAGGGTTGAATCAGCTCTTAAAGAACAGATTTTAATACATTGTTGCTTTTCCCTGGCAAGATAAAGGATATGTGTACTTCTCCATTTTAATTGTAGAGTCAATTTAAAAGCACATATTTGACATTTTATGAGGGGAATTTGAAACGGCAAGAACTAAATACCATTTTTCCTCATGGTTTTGGTTTACCAAATCTTGTTCCTTATCAATTCTTGTCTCAAGTGTCACAGTGCAGGTGTTCTTAATGCACTACCTCCACAACATCCATCCTTTTTTTCCTTACCTGACCCCTTCATCTCGTGATCCTCCCTACTTGTAGTATGCCTCTATGCCTATCTTCCTCCAGCTCTCCTCTTGTTGACAGAGCCAGATATGTGTCTACGCATGGTGGGCCGTCTCCAGACAGGTTATAAATAACCAGAAAAGTTTTTTTTTGCTTCATGTCCTGAGAGCTCTACTTTCTTCTCACACTTGAGGAACCATGGGAAAAGAATCTTTCCCTTACGCACACAGCACTCGTAATAACAAGACACGGTTATACATAAAACCTTGGAGCACATGCGCTCGTTTGCAAGCTTTGCACAAACACAGAGACGCTGTTATGCATGCACACGCAGAATAAACCTGGGTGGCTTATACAGTAAGGTTGCAGCACTAAAATAGCAAGGTTATAAGAACAGGGGCCGGTGTTTATAATGAAATGTTAACTTACATTACATAACCAGCGCTGTGGGAATGCAGAGTGTATTTCTACTGTCATGTAAGTATGGGAAACTTGCTGAAACAACAGAAAGGGATGAAAGTCTGGGAGAGCAAAAAATGGAAAGAAAAAGAAAACAACAGCAGTTAAGTGAAGAGAGTGGAAAAAGAGCTCATCGCATAAGCATTTTTTTATCTTCTCCTGACAGAGTTACTGAAGAGGGAAGGTTTATGGGTACAAGAAGGGGTTGGTGTGAGTTTATGTGTACAGGAGTGACAGTGAAACACGGTTAATGTGGACTATAGTTGGGAGTAGGGGAGAATTCAGGGGTTGGCAGGTCAGACCCTGCTGACACACTGGGATCAGTGATGGGATTGTTTCCATTGGAAAGAATTCCAAGAATGAGTTAGAAGAGCTATCAGTGACTACACTCCTAGGGCTCTGACAACAGTTTTAATACACGGCCCAGGCACACACGCTCTCACTCACATTTAGAGATACCGCGTCTCACGCCAACAATGGTGTGCGAGACACACTCCGTTCCCCCCTTCACCAGTATGTGCTCAGCGAGAGTCACTAAGTACTCATCTCACCGACTGGAAAATGAATGCTGTCACTTCTGAACTCCAGCAGGGTGGTAAAGAAACTGATTAACACTGTAGATATTATTTTTCCCACACATAAGAGACAAGGTGGTTAAAATGTGCAGGTAAGTTAATTAAACACATGAAGGCTAATAGGACATGTCAAAATAAAACGCCTCACAACTTGATTTGAAGTAATGTCGTTTTAGTTAACAAGCAATAATGTTTAAAATTATAGTCAACATTACATTAAAATATACTTATTTAACAACAGCATATGCTCTGTTAGCTTCTCTGCGAGTTAACTAAGTCAGTGAAACCAGCTCTAGTTTCTTAGCTAGCATAGTTAGGCCTTGTATTTTTCATCAGTATACAATAAAAAATATTGTATCAGTAAACAAAAAAGATATATAATGTTGACTTTTGAGCTTTAGATGTGCTGGTGTAGACTTTTCTTATCATTGGGAGAACTTCAGGCTAGCTGTTTTTGGTCTGTAAGCTAAGCAGAGCTACGCTAAAACGTTCCCAAGAGCTACGTTTTGGGTGAACAGAAATAATAATAAATAGTTGTGTAATCTAGAATAGGACAATGCATATATTCAAAAATAAAAATGATATAAGTTCTGGAAGTGCTGTCTCTCAGCAACATAATCAAAAACCCAAGTACAACAAAAATCGTATTGTAATATTGTTAGACCGTGTTTGGTTCAGAGGAGTTTGCTGCCTTTCCTGAGCCATTCTAGTGATTAAAACCAAGACGTGGACTAAAAAAATGTTTCTAATTTGGACAGGTCTTCATGTTGGGCCCCATCAGGGTTAGGAAAGGTTTCCGGGCCTTTTAAGGGAGCTCTTACTTGGTGATGTAACTGAAAATTCCTGCAGTTAAACTTTGAACTGCCAAGATTATGGAAAAATTGTTTTCATGAACTCCTGTTCACATTTTGTTCAGCTCTCCTTTCCATTCAGGTTTGAAAGGGCAAAGGAGGACTGAGTTAAAAAAAAAAGAACACTACAGGATAGACAGACAATTGGAAGTTCAAGTGTGTACAGTTCAGTTTTTGTCTTACTAAAATATCAACCAAACCCACTACAAGCCACTTCATGCCTGCTGTTGGCTCATTGGGAACAAGTAATCACACGTCCTCTATTGGGTCATTTATTTTCTTTATGTGTAATTTCAGTCTTTTGTACAGCTGTGCCCTTACCACACTAACCTGCTTCTGTGACATTTAGTCCATGTTGTCCTCGTTTCTTTTGTCATCCAATTACGGCCTCCTGTAAGCCAGACTGTAACAAGGCTTACACGAGGAGGTCAGTGTGATGAAAGGATCATAGCATGACTGAGCCCTCAATGCATGACAAGCATTTCTACAACAAATTGATCACAGAGAGGCAAAGCCCCCCCACGCTGGTTTATTTTTTCCTACAATCCCTGCACATTTCACTAAAACGATTACAGGATGCTTTTTTTCTTTTTTTCTAAAGTCACAGAAAATCATTTAGATTCATTCCAAAGGGGATGGAGAGAAACTGTCCAGAAACATTTTGCTCTAGATACAGACAAATCTAATATTAACCTCTCAGAAACAGACAAATCTATAACCAGCAGTGACAATCAGAGGAGTTTACATATTAATCCAGAAGCTAAAACCATCAGAACATTGTACCAAAATAGTTCTGTGGGCATGAACCTCGCTATTTTGTTGTTAAGTACAGAGCAGTTTTAGCCCCGCTGCAGTGTACCAGTGATGTGCTGGTGTCAAGGGCAACTCAAATTTAAATTGTAGTCGCATTGAATTTAATTTAATTGAAGAGCAGATGTTTTCTGTGAGTCAGTGGCTGAAGATAAAAGCTGCTGAAAAGTCATAATGCTATGAACCGTTGCTTCAGGGCCTTCCTTTCATATCTCTTAAAGCCCCATGAAAACTCAGGACCTTTGTTTATTAAAGCTGAAGTTTATTGCTCTCTCAACATTACTTTCTCCATTTGAAAGTCAATGCAAAGTTCAGAGGTCTCCGGCTGACGTCACACGACTGCGTAGCTGGATGCGAGTTCAGCGAGTCTCTCAGAGGAGAACTGAGTCTGTCCTTTCACTAACTTTTCTCGTGATTTCTTCTTTCGGTGATCTCATGACATTTTCCACTGAGATCAAGGGGCAGACAATAAGAAAGGGATAAAGGACATTCCTTGTCTTGCCTTTACAGAAGTGGCCACCGGATACACTCTGCTGCTGATCGCCATTATCAACAAGCGGGTATTAATAACATTCTGATTCTTTTTTTGTTGTTTTTTTTCCAGGAAGAAGGAAGTGAGACAGAATGTCAGTGCATTGTTCCCCTTCCAGGAAGTGACCCAAAGACTCTGAGAGTACCACCTTAGCAAATCCATCAGGGCTGACGGACCTACAGCAGCACCCCTGATGGACTATTCCCGGTACTGGGCAATCAAACTTGACCTGGTGGGTCGTACAGAACTGCAAATCACCTGAGAAGTTTCCATTGTAACAGTGATCACTAAGCTTTCTGTTTATTCCTGTAAATCCCCCAGATCCCCATTAGAACATTTCCACTCAACCACATTTTATTAGTCCTGTATCATTGTGGTAAGTGTTTATGGGGAGAGCGTGAGGAGCTGCTTCCACAGGCTTTTATACCCTGCTGCACTATCCTCATTTTCTTTGATCATGGAAACAAAAAAAAGCCTCCAAAAAAGGATTGCAGGTCAACCCCATGTTCTCCATAACGCCAGAAAGCTCCGTTATATTTTTAAACTAGATTAGAAATTGTTGTATCCAAGTGTGTGCAAGTTGAAGACAGGATGTAGCATGTGGCTTATTCTCATGTCTACATGTTTTCTGATACAAGCATCTGCATTCGTAGAGAGAAACTGCATGTGAGATGCAGAGCAGGAAGTAGAACTTTTTTTTTCTTCTAACCACTGCAGGTGAAGCGAGTGGGTGAAAGGGGAGGGGGGGGGGGGGGGTTTCACATGAAGGAAAGTAAAAGTAAACACAGAAGTTTAGTCTCTTGGAGTGCCCCTAAAAGACAGTGCAGTAAACACCGCAGCGACTCTTCAAAGTCAATTATTTTCACAGCAGAGTCACAAAGTTGGATAGCAAATTCAAATGTTTATTTACAGCCTCTGTTATCGTCACAGAGAAAAGTGGTCTAAATACAAAAAAACAAAGAAAAAACAAAAAGAGAAAGATGGCGGCTAATCTCCCTGAGCTTTACAAAAACAATGTGGGACCTGTAGGTGACGGACAGGAGAAAGAGAGAGAGAGAGAGATGTTCTGTACACAGCCCTAATGCCACTCGAACGAGAAGTTATAACACAGACATATCTCAGTCATGCTTGAACAACAGGATTTCATATTGCGACTTTTTTCACTTATTGACTTACAAGAACTGTTCCACAAACAACCAGTTGATATTTAAAGAGTGAACAAAGTAACATCAACTTTTGAGACTTCAGTACAGACAAATTAAATGACAGACATTACAACCAGAGAGCAACTTTTGGCATATGCAGGACTAACTGTGTTATGAAAATGGGTTTAAGATATTGCCTTACGCATCTGAATTCTGTCCTACGGTGTGATTTCTGTGTGACCTGAACTCCACTGCATCAAAATAATATGGCAGTTTAAAAAGAAAAGAAAAGAAGAAGAAAGAACAGGAAGACTAAAGACAGTTAACTTTTAGGTTCAGGTGTGTACAGCTCAGAGGGATTCTCACTCTCTGTCTTTCTTAAAAAGGAAACCAAACCCAGAGTACAAACATGAGCAGCGCACCACAAGGCCTCAGGGTTTGGCTCAGAGGGAACAAGTATTTACAACATCCTAGATTGGGTCTGTACATCGTTTTACAAACTGCTTTTTCAAATATTAGACTTTTCTATCATTAATTACAATTATCTACTTTTCCTTACTTCAAATTTATCTTTGTGATCCAAGTCTGTTGTCCTAAGGCTTACAGGGGACCCCCCTCCCCCGATGAGAGGATCATAACATAGATTGAGCTCCGACTGCATAACAAGAATTTGTACAATGATTTTTACATTAACAAAGAGGGGCATGCTGGTTTGTTTTATCTCGCTCTCTTTTCACCGTTATAAAATGATTCCAACATTCCCATATTTTTTTTTTTTAAATGAATCTGATGGTAAGATCACAGAAAATATTTTAGACAAATCTTGTTGAGGGAAACCAAAAGTCCCAAGGAACATTTTTTTTACACAAACACCCACTTCTCAAATCACAAAACATTCACTTCTCAGAAACACAGCAGTGGCAATCACAATAACCAACATATCAATCCAGAAACTGAACACAGGTACAGACTGCGTACTGAAGACAATTATTCCCACGGGCACCACAATAGTTCTGTATGAGAGTCTCTGGGGTCATGACGCCAGCCATTTTTTTTTTTTTTTTTTTTTTTTGGAGTTAAATGGAGAGCAGTCGCAGCCCCCTTTACAGTGTGAGAGCTGTCCATGGAGCTCAGAGCTGCCACTGTCCAACAGGACATCTTCCAGGTGGAGACACACACTGCGACAGGCATGGTAGGAAGTGTAGGTTATGAGTGTGCATGTCTGTTCTTTTCAAGCCTGTCTTGGTGCGTTTGCAGACTGGGAGGATACTTCATGTGAGGGTTTGTTTCTTGTGTATTGCTTCTCTCGGGAGGGGTGTGATGCTTTGGTGTCAAGGGCAACGAGATGGTATCACGACACACTGAGCGTGTGTCTGCCGTCTGATTCTGTTGGAGGTGCCGGAGGAGCAGTGGAACCAGTGTGAAGAAGAGAGTCCAACAGAAAGAAACAAGAGAGCGTGGATGCTACAACACAGCCTTTTAATGCTGTGAATTCTGTGTCGGCTGTCCGTTTGGGATGCTGCCATTATTCTGCTCGTCCTCCTCATCTTCCTCCTCCTCCTCTTCTTCCTCTTCACTGACCAGGAACTCCTCTGGAGGCCAGCGCAGCTCCCCGCTCTCCACCTCTCCCTCCGTCGGCTCCACCACGATGGAGGGCAGACGATCTTTGAGTTTACAGCAGCGGTCGAAGTCTGAGGGGTCGGGGAATATCTGGAGACAAAAGACAAAAGACAAATCTTTAACTCTGGACCGATGCTACATTAGTGTGAAGGTCACAATCACAGAGAATGGAAGTTACTCTTCTGATGATGTCGAGTTCATTGTGTGAAAACAAACTAAACCTTACAAAGCCAGACAAGCTGGTGTATTTAAAATAAAGGCCAACATTTTGAATACAAAAACTGATTTAACAAAACCAGCATTTATATTTATTTGCAATACATCCTTATCTCTGCAAGTTGTTTACCAACATTTTCTTTGACTTTTTGAGTTGTTCCCGGCTTAGGGGGCTTTCACATGAATTTTCCTGAACAGAGCGACTGTTTAGACAGACCCCAAACCTCAATAGTGGTCAATTATTTTTCTGAAGTGTATATCAGGGAGAGTGAGTGAGCAAATCTGTCATCAGTGCCAAGTGTACGCTTGGCTCTGGAATACCAGAATTTGCTCGAGTATTTTAGAAGTGTTGCAGGCACTTCCACAGGCTAAACACTCTGAAGGAAGGGATGCAAAGTCCAAACATCTGTGATAGGAAATGTTCCCTGAATTCCTGTTGGCATACCTGCTCTCGCCTAGGCCACATTGCTACCCAACAACCATGCTAGCTTTCCACATACAGGCCAACTGAAATAAATGATTGCACAAGCAGAAGTTACATCAGTGGCTCTGTTTTGGTGAAATCAGGCATGTCCAGTGAGACTTACGGAAAATTCTGCATCATGTTTAATCTAAATGCTTTGGAAGGCATCGGGCCAAGCAGCTAGTAGCTGCTTACCAACTCATCCAGTACTGCATCAGCCACTACTCGGAAGATTATACAAGAGCATAATCGTAGCATTTCAAATCAACAGCAAGCTAAAAACACAGAAAGGTGAAAGGTTTACCAGAACATGATTTGTGTATATATATATTTAGAGCTGAATACTTGATATTCCCATGGAGATGGAAAAAGGTTTTGGAAAGATAATGAAATCAGCCGAGTTATATACACAAATCCAGGCCGATAGGTTTCCTTACAAAAGCAGTGTAGCACTCGCTAATGTTTGGATCTAAAGCGAAGGGCATGAGGGACTTTCTGACAGGAGAGATTACAAGCATTCCCCATCCTGGCAAGATTGGACATCAACCTCAGACTCGCGCTGTTCTCAGGAACCAGAGAAACGACCCAAGGGGGGAAAAAAAAGCCTGCCACTTCTGGTCCAAGAACAGCAATTTTGCTGTTGTTTGGATAAAGTGGAAGAATATTTTTAGACCTGCATATTTCACTTGAAGACACTGGAAGAGAGAGGGAAGGAGAGGGGGTGTTGGGGGGGGGGGGGGCAATGTCGCTGTCTGGGCAAAGAGCCGAGTGGAAAAAAAGAATTAGTTGAGGCAGAAGAGAGAGGAAGAGATAGACGGGATCCAGCTGTGTCTGAGTCTCTGAATTCCAAAGGAGACGGATGAGAAGGGAGGAAAAACACAGAAAGCTATAAATATGCCTTGTGAATGTGAGAATTTGTCAGGTTATGAAAGCATGTATGCTTCTATCAGTGGCTTTTACATCCTCCAAAAACAGCTGCTTATAAAGCCACGCCAAGAGGTGTGATTGGATGCGTGAGAGCTTGTCTGTGTACAAGTATAAAGCCCGTGTGTATCTGCATTTCCGGACCCGTATCGCCAATCCTCAGTGTGCGTCAGCACAGAGGGAAGTAAGGCAGAGAATGACCTTGCCTTTGGACCCCTTGCTAACACATGTCATAACTTGTTTCACATCCAGTGACAGAAAGAGACGACACATCATCAGCCGGGCACAATGCCAGCTATTTTAGGATCTTCTGGGGGGTGTGGAGGGTGCATACTATACGCCTGAATCATGGCATCAGGATGATAAATCAGTACATTAGTAACCATTTGCTCATCCATTTCCACTCCGAGGACACGTTAATCTCAAATACCTTTTATAGGTGCAGCTGGAAGTCTATGGTCACGCAATATGTGTCAAAGCCCCCAGCATACGTAACGGAGGAAGTGAGTGGAAGCAGCATCACTGCTTCATTGAGGGGAGCGATGGGGACCTTGAGGATGAGGAAGTGCAGAGTGGGCACAGAAATAGTGGAGAAGAATCACCCTTTTTTTTAAACACCACCCCCCCCTCCCTCTCTCCATCCGCTCATCTCATCCTCTCAGACAGAGTCACAGCTGGGCTGTGAACTGAGGGGGGGGGGGGGGAAGCTAACCTCTTCCTCTGGGTCAGCCTCAGCATGGCAATAACACTCCATTGTGTTTAAGAAAGCATGAAAATTAATCCCATAGAAAAGTAAGAAATTCCAGCGAAGAAAAGTCTTGTGAAATAACACGTTAACAACAAGGAAACGGCCCCGTGAGATTTGAGCGTCTCAGCAGGTGGAAATCCAAGTTAACCATGACGTTATTGTTACTCCGTTCCACCAGCTCAGATGCAGCATGACTGACCGTACGGCCTACTTCCTGTTCTAACCGGTGTGGGCAGATACAAAAATGTTACCGTAAATGTTCAAACTGATTTAAATAGCCTTCATCCTCTTTACTCATGGGACATCAGAAAAGCAGCAGTTGTCTGTTTCAGTAGTTGTTTCCAGGATGGTCCTGTTTAGCTGACAGTAAGACAAAGCAGCTGGCTGCATCCTGTCAAGAGCACCTGATGGCAGCTCCTCTTGTCACTCTGAATCTTCGGGGTATATTTTTTTTTTTTCAAAGACCTCGTCGTTACATTAAATGGCACGCGATTTCTCGGGCTAGCGTTACCATTGCATGTTTTAAGTTATGACTAACCATGACCTCAAATGACCCCTATATATTAGAATGTTAAATTACCTTTATACAAGTTTGCTGTTACAATTTTTAAAAACAATTTTCAGTGTTAAAATTCGTAGGTCAGTGTTCCAACCTCAGTCAAACCATCATTGGTAACACAAGACGGCTTGGAAAGAATTTTAAAGATTAAAAACAAAACCCCAAAAAAGAACATTCATTTATACTATATTATATATTTTTTTTAAATCCTCTTTTGCATTTACAATGAAAGCTTTTAATTCCCAAACTACCAAACATGCAGTGGCTCTTCCCTCCTGATCATGCCGAGGTCAAGCAAGGACATTATAACGAATGGACTTGTTTGAAATTACCATGCACATGTGGGAAAACAGGGCAGTATTTGTGTTTTACTGGCATCCCTGGCTACGTGGCTGTGTGGTGTGTAGTGTGCAGTGTGTGTCTTACCTGGAAGGAGAGTCTGTCCTTGCTAGGACTCAGCCTCATGTCCTCCATGGGGGTGCTATTGATCATCACCTCAGTCATATCTCGGCCGGGCACAAACACTGGGCTGCGGGGTTGAAAGAAGAAAAGAAGTTACTTCAGTTAGATAATCTGATAAGAAATCGTTTTTCATACAGGAAGAGGAGTCTCATCTGAAATTCTGTGTAGTGAACCTGAACATGCTGACATCAAAGTGTATACTGCACACAACCTTTAAAAAGAGGTTCATAGCCCTGAGTCACAAATAATAAAACATGTTTTAACTAGTGTAATGGGTTTTCTGTGGAAAGATACAAACAGGTTATAACAGTGTCAACAAACAGATACGCCAAGTCATCGTGATTACAAACTCGAATAAGAAATGTGACAAAAAAGAAAATAAAAATCTATCAGAGCATGTCTATGCATTCACAAGTTCAAAGCATCAAAATGTCTCAGGTTGCTGGTGGCCTAGTGGTTAGTTTGCACACCATGTACGGAGGCTGTAGTCCTCAAAGCAGGCGGCCTGTGGTCAAATGCGACCAGCAGCTTCTTTCTCAGATGTCATTCCCCACTCCCTCCACTTTTCCCATCTCAATAAACGCAAAATGCCCCTAAACCTAAACTAAAAAATATTTAAAGTCTGTGCTGTTCAAACTGTTGAGAATGTGCCGGTATAAGTTTATTCTCTGCAAAGCTTGACCACAACACAACCGAGCATCCAGTCAGTGCTCTGCCGTGCAGGGGTAATGCACTGCAGAGCTGCAGAGCTGCAAAGCTCACGCTGCTGCTTGCATAAGGTGGCCGTGTCTAAATACAGGATGATGTGCTCTTGCAGTGGAGACCAGAGAACACAGTCATTGAGAGAGTCAACTGAAGGCGTGCTGTGGTATTTGACTCCAGTGGAACTTGATGCTCTCTGTTCCGTTCAAGCTTGGCCAAACTTTCCATTTTTTTTTTTTTAGAACCAAACAAGATGCTGATTATCCATGCTCGATGTGTTGTTCACTATCCAGCATTGTCATAGTAAGGATGAACAAAACAAAGAATACTTAAGCAGGGCCCAGGACTGACATTTACAAAGTCCTGAGACGAGAGGCTGAACAGCCTTCTCACGCTCTCTATTTAAAGCCCGCTGCCTTGTGGTCAGCGGCTGCAGGCTTGTGGTCGGTGTGGTCACTGCTATACAGAAGAAAGAAAACAGAACAAACTTGCTCATATCCTCACATTATCCCATTCATGGATGTTTTTTTAATTATTTTTCAGGAGAGATGTGTGGGCTTCACTTGACCTACTTTGCATCCTAAATTAAAAAAAACGTTTATTTTGGGATACAGCTGAATGGTGGAAATTATACCCTGGTAGTGATTGAAACATGGTTTTGAAATAAGGAGTGATTATGTAAATGTATTCCAAAGAACAAATTCAACCATTCACCGCAGTCTTCTTCATCCATCAAAACACCCCGGCTTCAAAGTCTATTAGATAACAAACTGGAAACTGAATCATCTCGGCGTTTGATACACTTCACAAACAGAAGTCCCTCTGAAAATAAACCGTGTCAAAACATACAATACTTCATCTGCAATTACAACATGACACCTGCTGTGGAATTTCTAAGTAAAGCACAGCTGAATATTTCTGTCTCTCTTTATGACTCATTCAAAACTCATCGCACTGAAAATACCCTCCATGCAGTGTTTTCTACGTCTCTGTTTACTGGCGCATGAATTACCATAAAACTAAAATATGTTTGTTAGTGATTTTTATCTGACAAACTGCATAAGAAGGTCTCGACATCCAAGAACAAAAAAAAAGGTTACATTTGTACTTAAGATAAAATATCTAAGCCTCAAAAAAGAAAAAACACACCCAAAGATCCCAGCCCTGATGTAAGCCATGAAGAATGGTGGCTCACGATTCGATTCAGAATGTATTTTTGATTCAAAGTCTATTTTTGAATTAGTGTATACTTCAGGCTCTACTGCAGTCATCTGTGAGACTGACTTAATTTCTAGCTGCTCCATTTGGCATTGTACTGAGTTGAAGAGCTAGCATTAGCACTTAGATTGCTCTACGGAGGCCGCGAAGTGCGTACGAGGAGACGGAAGGGGTTTGAAAAATATCGATTTTTGGAAGTTACTGTATGAATCCATTTAAGATCTCAGAAGGCAAGAATCTTGATATTTTACATAAATCGATTTTTTTCCCCTCCGCCTCTAGCTTAGATTCTACTACCGCCTGCCTTGGTATGGGGGTTAATGTGAACACGCTTCAAATAGATATTGTGTAACTGAGCGGCATAAACTCTTCTAATTGCTGCACTTTGAATTTAACATAACATGATTGATAAAAAATTTTTTTTAAAAATGATACAGTCGCATCAACGATTACTAGTAAATTAAGCCTTTTGTATTATTGGCATCCACATAGTTTATCTACAGTTTTGTGTTGCACTGTTAGTCATGTTGAGGGGTTACAGTTCTACATTTCTGTTTTGGATATGCACTACCTATCATCGATTTCTCGATAACTCGAAAAAAAAAGAAAAGCACACACACACCAGTTCATCCCTGAGGAGTAGAAAATCATGCAGCAACAGTCACCAGCCCTAAACTATTTGCTTCCTCCAAGAAGACAATAACATCACATCAGGGTGAAGTGCAGAACTAAACATGAGAATAATGACACGGTTGAACCACCATAACCTTTACTGAGCCAGTCAGACAACACGGCATACTCTGTTAAAACAATACCCGGATATCCAAAAAAAAAAAAAAAAGAAAAAGAAAAGGAGGCTTGAAGGATATGCTAGGATTAACATGGAAAAAAAGAATGTCATCTGGAGCTGCTCTTGAACTTAATTCATCCTTGAGTGGGGGAGCAGAGAGGGCGAGGCAGGCATGCAAAAAAAAAAAAAAGCAGCAGAAGAGAGGAAGGAGGGATGAACGGTGACAGTGAAGACCTGAGCAGAGGAGAAGGAAGACGAGAAGAGAAAGAGACAGAGAGAGGGAGGGGAAAGAAAGATAAACACTAGGGCCCTGCCAGTCATATTTCTGTTCGGGGATCGTATAAACATCCTGCTCGGCTAAGAATAACAGAACATCGGCCTAATAAAACATAAAGGGGCACAATGAGGAGGAAGTGGGGGTGCAGGAGAAACACGTTGACCTGGGAGGAAACAAACACAAGCAGACCACAGTCAAATCTATTACTACTTCAAGTGTCAGGCAGGAGGACAGAGTGTCCCTCTCATAAAGTGGACTTCTCCTTTATTAAAAGCTGGTGTTAAGTGTTCTATAAGTAACCAACCTGTATGTGTGTTACATAAGATCATCATGGACCACAGCTCGTTGACTAGAGTCTACGCCGATGAGGGCGTTGTCATGTCATCAACAAGATGCTTGATTTAAGACTATTGGCCTTCAGTGATGAACGCTTGATGCTGGTGCGGCAGATGGCTGTTAACCTCTTTACCTCCTGACCCAGTCCAGATAATGCACACCTGATCCTAATGCCATGTCCAATCAGGGCAGCACAGGTACAAGACCGGTCAGTCATAAAGCGCAAGACCAGAACACATGCGGGGAGGGATTACAGACTGTAAACCATTTGTTGATGAAGTAATTTCTAGGATAGTTCGCGGAAAGATTTTTTTGGTCCAAGCTTCTGAATATTTTGAGATTGTATTCCCTTTGTTACAACAGCTAATTTAAAGTGTTTTGGGTTGGAAATATTTCTCAGACAAACAATTTGGACACATGATCTTTGACTTTAAATAAGTAATAGGGAATATTCACCACACACACAAATCAATAATGAAAACGATCGGTCTGGTTGCAGTCAAACTAGAGCGGGGTTATGCAATATTTCTAAAAGCTAAAATTGCATAAGACATGACCAAGAGTTAATCACTAAAGTCCTTTTCCAGTGCGTGGGGGAATCACCCCACCACACACACACACACACACTAGAACGTATGAGAATGAACACAATGTTGTATATGTCTTAAAGTTTAACCCTGTGGATTACAACAACTGGATGTGCAGACAGTTTGATTTTGTAAAACATCTACCTAACCTCATTAAATAAATAGTGAGCATACTTCCTGACAATGTTACACCAAGTTCATCCACCTGTTTCAGGGCTTAAATAAAAGACCACGGCTGTGCTGCCTCCTTGTATGCCTGAACTGTAAGTGCCCTCAAGTGCAACAGTCTCATTGCACAAGAGGAGTATTTGCATCTTGCATTATCAACATTGTTTCCCCTTCTGCTGCCACCCCACAGTTCTTACTACCAGCATCGTAAATCTCAGCCTGTATGGTAACAGGACAAAGATTTCCATCAGCTGAGTCAAACAGCTCTGCAGCTATGCGTGTGGGTAGTGCAGGGACTGCACAACACCGCAACACTCTTTGGTTTAGCACGAGAATAGGAAGTCACAGTGTGGACATTCAAAAAGGGGTTTTAGTAAGTCTGGAAAAAACGCAAATGAAAATGAAAGTGTACTTGAACTTTTCTGGTCTTGAATCTAAAATGAGAGGAATTTAAAAAAGTAACGAAAAGCCCTGTTATGGAGAAGTATAGGCAAGGCAGCGTATGGTTACAGTAAAGAGGTCGACTCTGAACTTCCTGGTAGAGACAGTCAGAAGCCTGCTGAGGTTTGAACAGAGATCGCAAAACAGTGTTTGCTCGCTGCTAAACAGGAAAACACAAGACAAGATAACAGGCATGCTCAAGCAAACAAAGATGCACTCACTTCACATGTTTTGAGAAGTGAATAAAAAGGAGTTATGGTGCTGACAGGCTGAAGAAATAGATATTAGTAACAGATAGGAGCACTGTGCATCTTTCCATCTCCTATTGCACTGCACCTGCAGCACTAAAAGGATGAGAGCAGTGTCGTATTCCATCCAAATGCCTGAGGATACAGACAAGTGAGCTTGTATGCCCTCTAGTTAGGAAAAAAAAAAAAAAGTTATTAGCATGCAAATATTCCTAAATAGAAAAAAAAAACCGGATTAGGCACATGCAGCAAGCTGGAGGCTGACAACCACTTTGCCTCAAACATTAGTTTTCATGGAGACCTAGAATTTTCGCTGACTTTCTTTCCTATCTGAGTGATATTGACATTCCGAGTCTCAGGGGGCAACACCCCACACAAGAAAATCTCAAAGGAAACAAGAGTGGGTGAAGCAACAAAGGGGGCATCACCTAGCAAAAAAAAACAAACCACAACTCTACATATTCCATTGCTCCAAACTTGGGTTCAAAGTTAACAACTTGCAGTGTTTGCTGTTAAATGATTGCTTCTGTGTGGCATTTATGGAGTTCGGGAAAAGATAAAAAACAAAACCTGCTGAAGGTTAAAAGTGGAAAAGATGCGAGTACTCACCAGTATATCTGCGGGGAGAATACAGACATGAATTCACACCTGCTGTCAAAGCTGCTGATTAGAGAATGTTTTAACAGCCACGCGCCTCTCTCTCTGCTTTGACCGTCTTTGATCTCTCCTTAAAAGCAGCTGAAAGCGCAAACCAAATGTGTCTCTGTCAAAACTCAGAACAGCCCAAGGACGAAAGCACAGCTTTTCAAATTGGTGCGTCTGATCAACACTACCGTTGAATTGAGTTTTTATGTAAGAGGCGTGTGCTTGTTCAGCCACAGACACACCTCCTCCCCGCATGAACCCAAAAATCCTCAATGGCAGCTCATTATCGGCAGCAGCCAATCACAGCGCAGGTGACTCAGGCGGCGCCGCCCCGTCAGCCCTGATGACGACAGCAGCGACTGAAAACGCTCATTGGGAATGGACAAGGAGATACTGCATGATGCCACTGATTTGTAGTCTCCAAGGCAACAAAATGACAAGCTTCCCTCCTCTTGAATGACAAAAATGCACACTGATTCGCCCGTTAGGTATTTCGTGACATTTATCCAAATGAGGAGAGGGGAGGAGGGAGCGCCCCTCTGCTCAGGCTCATTCACAAATATATTCCAAGGGCAAGTCAATGTCTGCAGATTTTAGTAACAATGCATGCTCCTCGTGTATGGTTTTCCTTGTATTAGAAAAGCATGCAAAGATTCCTACTTATGTAGTCCAACTTACAGTAGATTTTCTCGTTAATTTAAAAGTAGGCCTAAAGACATTAAATAATAAAATAGCTTTATTTGCAGGACCTGACTGTGTATATGTTTTGTTCGGGACCTCTATGACATAGTTTTATATAACGCTTAGTTATATTTTCCTCACATGTTCGCACAGCAAATTTCGCTGTTAAAGCAGGTGCAAAGGACGCTCTGCAGTTTTAAGGACATAATGGTAAAATGCCAGTAAACCTCTACTGCCACCTTGTGACCGATCAAGAATAATGCCCTAGCTGTCTCATTCATGCAGTGAATGTGTAGGCTATAATATAGTATTTAAAAAAACAGTTTTCCTTATGTTTCCTCACTCCCTATCTTATCCTTTACATTTTCATGTTTGTGTGGTGACATGAACACTATATTGTTATGCACCGCACAGCTTCCGCAAATCTGGCAGTTTTCAAATGGCCTTTATAGAAATCTCTTGGGTGTGACTGACAGCAGCTGGCCCACATGCCCTGCAGAAAGAAGCCATTTGAGAAGATTTTAAAATGCTTAACAACGGGTTGTCTTCAACCACTTAACAAGCAACTGCAAACCAGACTATTTAAAAAAGGTTCAAAGTAAATACGTGTTCAAGCCCACAAAACATTTACTTGTTTGATTAGGCTATTTCAATGGTGAGTGCATATTTTCAACAATCATCAAGGAAATCAGGCTATAGTTTTGGTACATGATAATATAAATGCAAACTTACTGGAATGATGGTGCCATAAAAAACATTGAGTTCTTGTTCTGATTTCTTTATGTAAAGTTGACTTAGAAAAACATTATTTTAGGGAGAAAAAGTGGAAAGAATGGGTCATAAAGCTACCTTTGACCTTTGACCCTTTGAAAAAGAAAGAATACTAATTACCAACTAACGGTTCAAAAATGCTTCTGACCATATCCCCCCTTGTGATCTGTCTGTGGCACATTTAAATACTGTACAGAAGCCTGTGTTAAAGAGGTGAATCAAATGTTTTAAGCAGTCTTTTACCACTGTCTCAGCTTCATCCATCATCTTGGTTTCTCTAAAAATAAATGAGAAGAATCGAATGTAATACATTCAAATTCAGAGCTGAAGAAAGATCTTACGCCAAAGTGTAAGCTTCAGGCTGAAGTGTGCGCCTCTGAAATATTAAAAATATTGAATTTTGAATAGCTTCATATTTCTCGATGTTTTTAAATGTGTTTAGATGTTTCACTATAAGTATAGTGGGGGCTTTGGCCCCTTCTGAGAATTGTATGGAATCAAAACATTTTTTACTGTAAAATGTAAAAAAAGAAAGATCAACAGGTAAATGTAAAAAAAAAAAGAAGATCAACAAGTAAATGTAAAAAAAGAAAGATCAACAGGTAAATGTAAAAAAAAAAAGAAGATCAACAAGTAAATGTAAAAAAAAGATCAACAGGTAAATGTAAAAAAAAGGTCAACAAGTAAATGTAAAAAAGAAAGATCAACAGGTAAATGTGAAAAAAAGATCAACAGGTAAATGTAAAAAAAAAGATCAACAGGTAAATGTAAAAAAAGAAAGATCAACAGGTAAATGTAAAAAAAAAAAGATCAACAGGTAAATGTAAAAAAAGATCAACAAGTAAATGTAAAAAAAAGATCAACAGGTAAATGTAAAAAGAAAGATCAACAGGTAAATGTAAAAAAAAAATCAACAGGTAAATGTAAAAAAAAAAGATCAATAGGTAAATGTAAAAAAAGATCAACAGGTAAATGTAAAAAAAAAAAATCAACAGGTAAATGTAAAAAAAAAGATCAACAGGTAAATGTAAAAGAAAAAGATCAACAGGTAAATGTAAAAAAAAAAGATCAACAGGTAAATGTAAAAAAAAAGATCAACAGGTAAATGTAAAAAAAAAAGATCAACAGGTAAATGTAAAAAAAAAAAGATCAACAAGTAAATGTAAAAAAAAGATCAACAGGTAAATGTAAAAAAAAAAGATCAACAGGTAAATGTAAAAAAAAAGATCAACAGGTAAATGTAAAAAAAAAGATCAACAGGTAAATGTAAAAAAAAAAAAATCAACAGGTAAATGTAAAAAAAGATCAACAGGTAAATGTAAAAAAAAGATCAACAGGTAAATGTAAAAAAAAGATCAACAGGTACATGTAAAAAAAAAAAAATCAACAGGCTTATCTTCATGTAGGCCATGTAAGAAAAAAAACTGACTGAGATATATATTTTTCCATTTTGCTCATGTGACACGTTGTCAATCGTGCGATATGATTGGTTGATTAATTTGAATCATTCCCAGTCTGGTGCTTGTGAGAGAAAACACTAACAGAGTTTCTATGTGTTGAATGATAAGTTAGGTCTGTGCGTTCCGGTTTGTTAAAGTTAAACAGACGATTATTTTCATTATTACTAACACATAAGAGACAGTGGATGTCTGGAGCTACAATCACTGACTGTTAATTCTTCCTGGTTCAGCATTGTAACGCTGCAGATACATCGTGATGCCAAACTTGGATTAAATACTGAAGTGGAAGAAGAAGATGACAGCGTGGACGAGCTGCTCTGAATGGTAAGTTTGCGTTGTCATGTGGAAGTTTTATCTTTTTTGTGTCATGTGAAGCCTCCTCGGGCTAACGTTAGTAACAAAACGCTAACTTTAGGCCTAATTGACAGTCAGCTGCTAGTAACCATAGCAACGTGCAGTTGTGTTTTGCTGCTTCATTTCTTAATTGAAAAGCTTTTTGTGGTGACTTTGATATCAGTTGTGATTTCTTAGGTGGTTGTTGGCTACTTTTTGCTTTGTTCAGCTTTGTTAGTTTGTGGGCTTCATGCAGTAATGTACATTTCAATTATAAAAACTACTTTTCTGTACTAAATGGAGTTTTTTCTACAACACTTTGGAAATTGTTCATATGTAAATTAGCTTTCTGAACTCAGGTTACTGCTAACCTGGCAAGCAGAGCTCTACAGCTCAGCATATTGCTAACACAACACTCTTAGTAAGGAACAAATTACTTTTAAACATTTGGTTTAATTAAATGTATAGAATTTCATTTTGTTCATTTCAATGTTAAATACAATTTAGACACATCAGCCTCTCTAATAAATCAATATGTGGGAGCTATGGGGGTCGTTTATAGCCTAGCAGGTGGTTATTATGTGATGCAACAACAGATAACAACATACAGCAATGCATACAAGCATACAATGCATACAAGTGAATGCATTTTGAGGTGTGAATAAATCATTAAATCATTAAAATATCTAGGCCTATCATTACATTTTGGTCACATATCTTATAAAATGATGTTAAAAACTGACATACTGTAGTAGCCTATAACTATAAGAACGTTTTTTGTGCTTCAAGCAAGAAAAGTGATAAACAGAAACCTGCTAATGGCATAATTCAGTGCTACACATAGATTAAGTAGGGTTGAAATGACAATATGTTTTGTGGGGCTGCAGTGCTATCGGTGATGTTTATTTCCTCTCATTGTAGCTTGTTAGCATCAGATTTGGAGGTGACTAAGCAAGTGACATTTCCTTTGTGACACAATGACCAGATAATGTTTGGTGAGATTCATCGTCTCAACAGGATCATCACCCAGTTGTGTCAAAAACAGCTCCCTGAAAGGAAATACACAAACAACAAAAGTCATTTTTTAAATAATTTCACTGAGGCATTGACAAAAAATGACCACAGGAGGTCACCAGAGTGTAACTTATGGCCAGGAGGTTTAATGTGAAACACTGTTTAGAAGGTAAGATTGACATGAACTATTTTAGAGCTGGTAAGGGAAATGATTAAGTTCAACACACACATTAAAAATTACTTCTTTCAATGTATAGTTTAAAAAAAATAAAAAAAAAAATAAAAAAAAAAGATTGCGTTCTTCATAGTTTTATAATTTGATGCATATTTTAGTGAGCAATTTTAGGATGAACTAAGTGAAATAAATCTTTTCAGAAATTCAACATGAATAAAGTATTTAAAATAAGCTGGTGACACAAAGTTGATTGTTGTCACAATTTGACCAAACATCTGTAAAACAAGTATCACTCATTGAGTAGATAGTGGGAGAAATAGCGACCCCCTCTGTTCATCCTGAGGTTGTGGATAGCAGAGCAGCTGCTTTGGTTGCTGCTCTCCACATAAACAGCTGCACATCTGGGCAGGCAGAGACGCCTCAGGGGACCAGAGGGGAGGCTGAGGACTGACTGCACGACGTGCAAATGAACGAGGCCCTGAAGGGGACGGCACTCGACAAGCACCCGTTGCACTCTTGGCCGCATTTCGACACAGGCTTAAGTTTCTTTGTGGACTCTGAAAGTGTCCAGTTTTTTTTTAGATAGGGGGATGTTCTGGGATCTTTTGGAGGGCATATATAAGTATGCATTGTGCACTGGATTTACATATACAGTACGACCTCTACTTTGGCTTAAACAGAAATTCACTGAAAACATCATGCCTAAAAAATCTCATTGAAAATAATTCTCATTTAGCAGTCTGCATAAGTGCTCTGTATCACGTGC